GAGAAAGTGTTTTAAGCCTATTTTCTTTAGATTTTAGTTTCTTTAAATTTTAGTTTAGAATAGACCTTTCTATGAACTCTAATAACTCTGGGGTGTGTTTAAATATAAGTTGAGTAACATGAACAAATCTTGATCTCACCAGTTAAATAAATGAAATATATTATTCCGGCTGCTATTGTAGGACCAAAAAAATGTTTGAACAATCTTGACTGTAAAGAAAGTAAAAATGCAAACAATGAAGTGTATACCTTTCCTATCTCCTCATGTGTCGGCTACATCATCTCCTGAGTATATGCTTCTCCTCCACTGATAATTCCATTGGCTTCCACATCTCCTGAGTATATGCTTCTCCTCCACTGATAATTCCATTAGCTTCCATGTGCTTTGGCTACGGCTGTGGAGTAGATATTGGGGCTTCCATGTGCTTTGGCTACGGCTGTGGAGTAGATATTGGACATTTTCCCTGATGGCAGGCTCTAATTCGACGCTGCTTCCTTTCCGGCGAGGCTTCTGGTATCACTGCTGCACTGCATGACCTGGTGTTTATATTGAAGTCTGAAACTTGATAGTCTTTGTATTGTAGAGAGAGATGTATATATAGAGTTTAGATATAATTGCTTCCCTATCGTTAGATAATGAAAGGATAGAAATCGATTGGTCTGCAATTAATTACTTTGGAAAAACATATCTGGCTCTTCACAATAAATATTATATAGGAAAATGAAGAATACACACGGTTTAAACAAAAGGTTTAATATTAGTGGTCTAGAGATTAAAAATGTCAGCTAAACAATTTTTTTTAAAAAAATTTTGTATTGGAAACTGATAAATTACACGTTCTTCAACATAAAATGCAATAAATTTTCAAAACCTGCTAAACGACACCGTTTCTTGTAGGCGGGAACTTTTTGTGCTATGTCATTTTGCTTTAATATATATAGAGATAAAAAAAAACACAACATTTAAAAAATAAAATAGCTATATATTATATAATCATATAAAAAATATACTTTTGAAAAATAAAATAGCTATATATTATATAATCATATAAAAAATGTGTTCAAATAGAGTTTAAATTTACACATACAAAATTTGAAATTTGCTTTCCAAATGTAATTATCTTAGTTATTATTCATATTGTGAAAATTATAATATAGATGAAACACAATTAAGAATAAATCAATGTAATTATGTAAATTCTGTCTATAAGTTTATTTGAATATGCACATAATTAGAAATTATATTAACCATACAAAATTATAATTTTAATTTTAATTGTAATTTTGTATTCTATAAAAATAATAAATACTTGACCAATGAAAGCTCAAAAATATTATTATATTAAATAATTTAAAATATTTTAGTTTTTTTATTTTTTATTCATATTTATAATAACATAATTTTTTTCCCTACATCGCGCGATTTTTCCCATTAGTATATATATATTTCAATCGAGTTAATTGTATAAATTAGATAGAAAAAATAATTTATGGAGACAAGATTATACATATTGCTGCACACAACAAAAGCAAATTTCTGATCTCAAGATTCTGACTCGATAAAATGAAATAATAAATCTCGAAGTTTAATTGGTTATTAAGTGAGATAATTTATGTCTAGTATTAATAGAGGTGTCAAACATGAGAGTTTGAACTGACTCTTTATTTTTATTTTTTTTGGAAACCAACTGACTCTTTATTGATTCGTTTATTTTTGGACTGACATGACTCGATTATATTTTGGACAGGAAATGAAACGCGAGGTTGCCAAGACATGATGAGAATGTGAAATTTCACAAGTATATATGCATGCTCCCACAATCTTTGTGTGCTCTGCTCCCTTCCTTGGGCGTAAATCACATGAGGGTTGATAAAAGTGAGTAATGAGTTTATCCATATACTAGTATTTTTGTTATGCACGACGCACAAAAAATAAGTGCCCAATATTAATACTTTATATTAAAATTTTAAATTTATTTATATTTTAGATATTTAAATTATTGTAAATAATAATAATAATAAATATTTTTATAAATTTGATATTTATATTTTAGAAAAATAACTAACATATAACTCTAATATATAATGTGTATATATTATAGCATAATGTATAAAAAAAAAACTTAACGAAAAAATGGACATAAATAAAGGATATAACATTTATCCACACTTATTATGTTTTTAGATTTTAACTCTAACATACACATTATATAGTATTTGATCAATCAAATTTAAATATTTAATCAATTTCTGTAAAAATATTATTTTCAGGCAACTATAATTAATTTTCAATATGAAATATCTCCCCTCTCTCTACTTTTAGTATTCATCATAATGAAACTCACACGACCAACTCAAGTGATTTCGATGTGATAGATTATGGTAAAAAATACAAGATCGAATTTTGATAATTGTAAATGTAGAAGATTATACCAAACATTAATCTTCTCATCTAATGAGTTGTTAAGTAATTATAATAATAATTTATCCCCCTACTATTTAATTGAATCGAAGTGTAAAGGGCAAATGAATTTCACCTTTTATGGACAAGGACAAGTGTCCATCCTAATGAAGGATTATCTCTCCCTATAAAAACATTTTCTTCTTGATGTGTCAGACTCTCTTCCTTTCCCTATTAATACAATAATCAATCTCAGTGCGCCGTCTATGTATAAAGTTTTAGAAATACAAAGTTGAATGAGAACATAAGTTTGTTCTACGGAACTAGCTGTATATTCTTGTCCAAGAGTTCGAACCTCTCAAATGAAAAAACCAATATAGTAAAAAAATTTTGCCCCTTAAATGGACAAGACACCTCGTGGTCTGATAAAAAAAAGTTTCCTCTACAGAAATAACTTTTTTTTAAAAAAGTTTGTTCTACATAGGAAACATTGATTTTGTAGAATTATACATTCTCCATACACATAAAAGCAAAAATAAACACTAATTTTAAAATCAAACTCGTTACATTTGTTTTGTGTTTATGTTGGGTAAGTAAGTAACTATGCATAATCATATGAGAAATGAAGCAAGATTTGCAGAAATGCAGAATATTGGGCATCAGTAATTTGGTCTTAGGTCATATGGTAATGGCATCATCATCATCATTATCATCATGTTCTTGATCTATCAAGAAGAGAAACACCAAGCAAAAATCATTGGAATTCAAGAAACTCAAAAAGGGGTTGGTTCTTTTCTTAGAAGGAACAAATGAAAACATCAACTGAAATAAATAGTGTCAGTGATGAAACAAGAAGAAAATTAACTTTGTTCTTTTCACTTTTCAGAGGAAAGAATACTCTTCCTGCTATTAGTAGTACATTGCAGAGGGTATTGCAGAGGAGAAGGAAGATCCTCAACTGCTCTGATCATCTCATCATCAACCAGCTTTTTTAAGAATCTCTTCTGAAGGAATTTCAAATGTCGCCCCTGCGTGCACCATTTCCGGCTTCACCGCTGCAAGCCGATCAGCAAAAAAACAAATATCGAATCGGATCAGAAAAAATCCACTGTGACAATTTAACAAACAGGTGGCGGGTTCTGGTAAGTGTCCATGTGTAATCAGCAAAAAAACAAATATCCAATTGGATCAGAAAAATTCCACTGTGACAATTTAACAAACAGTTGGCGGGGTCTGGTAAGTGTGCAGGTGTAATCAGCAAAAAACCCAAATATCGAATTGGATCAGAAAAATTGCACTGTGACAATTTAACGAACAGGTGGCGGGTTCTGGTGAGTGTGCATGTGTACTACTGCCTATGTGAGCGAAGGTTATGATAGGGATTTACCGAAACCGCCACTGTCGGTGCGTTGAGCTTGGACGATCATGGTGGAGATGAAGGACGAGGCTTCACGTGCGTCCTCCAGAAGCCGCTGGATCTCCTCCTCCGAGTTCACGTGTCGGTTCTCCTCGAATTTCTTCCTGACCTCGGCGGCCGACTCCCGGAGCATCACCGTGTCGCCGGCGAAGGTCTTCCGTGTGGCTTTCAGCACCGATCTGTATGCTCGGAGGGCTTCATATGCTCTCCCGCTAGCCATTTTCTCTAGTTTCAGAGTTGATGGCGGTCGCCTTTTTTTGTCCAACACTTTGGCCGGTTGGGCCGCGCCCGGTTTGTTATTGCCAGTGCTTGATTAGGTTGTACCTCCATATGCTGAGGTAGGTAGTACTCTGATTAAGAGTCAATTGCAATTAAGTTAATTAGAAATTATAAATTCATGTATGAACTTCTACTTAATTGCTTGTGCTTTGAGAAGTATGAATTTGTCCCAGCTATTCATGTATAAGAACTTTGAAAACGTGAGACACATCTTTATTATTTACTTCTTTTAGTTAGATTTTAAATAAAAATAGATAGAAGCTCTCGAGTTTGGAGTGTAAACCCTTTTTAAAACAAATATACTATAAGAGGGCTTTACTATATAACAGTATTGTAAAAATAGATCTTGACATCAACTAGGCACTAGGCGTTTCTAAGTCAATGCGATTTTAGCCTTAGACCTGACTTTTAGTCGACTGACTGACTAACCGGCCGACTAGGAACCCTAGGCATCAACTCGGCTGAATTGAGCGTCTAATTCGATCGAGTCGGGCGCCTAACTCGATTGAGTTAGCGCTCAACTCGGCTTAGTGGATTGTTTTCCTAGTGCGACTAGCACCTTCTGCAATATTGCTACACAATTTTGTTTGTTGGCATGTTATGTGACAATTTGCCTAACACCTAATGCATATTTAGAGAAAATGTTAGAAGATTTTAATACAGGGTGAATTGAATCATTAATCAATGGCAAGGGGAGAAAATGGAGATGAATTTGACTCTCATTTCAAATACCAAGTCATTTCTCAAGCTTTACATGTTACATTCTTCAATATTCTATACATTTTTCACTCATGTACACGCATTATCGCAGCTTCAAGAATCCAAAAATCTTGAGCTGATGCGCAGGCAACAAATGGATTCAATGATCCAAATGGCTAAAAATTACAAGGAAATGATACTAGAACTAATCAGAAAGATTGTTTAGGAGAGACACTCTTGTGCGGATCAAGTGTTTGAACAAATGCTCCAACCCATTTTCAAGAATTTCATTGCTAGTGTCCAGAGTCTCCAGCCTGCTTTGTGCCAATTCAAGCTTTTCTGCTTCTTCTTGTTTGCCATGGTTATTGAGAAGCAAATCGTTCAGCGCGATATCTACTTTCTCCAGATCACTAAGGCTGTCCCTTTTTGCCTGATCATTGGCCAATAATGCGCCTTTCTGCACCAGCTTGGAGACCAATGACCATCTACTAGGCTTTGGTTTCAGGATTGGCACTGAAAGAAACAGTAGCAGGGATTGGAATGTAGAAATGGAGACAAGGCTTGCCTCTGTGAGGACTCCAACTATGAGAGAATCTGAATTGGAAACCATTCTGCAGCTTTCTATCTGCTTTAACATCGCGAGGGACTTCTCGATTTCCTTCTGTATCTTCCTTCTGGAGCAGGCATAAGCAGCAACCCCACTCTCAATGTTCAGATGATCTCCTGCCTTGCTTCGCCTAAGGGCCGACTGGAGTTCCCGGATGGCTTCTTTGGACATCATGACTGTTTCTCTTGCATTGCTGCAGATATCAATGAATCTTACAGATCTTTCCAGCAACTCATTGACCAGATTTTCATGTTGGTGATGCTGGAGAAGATCCCTTTGAGTGATGGGCAGTGCAAGAAGTTCTTCTATGCACTCATACAATTCCACAAGGCCAGGAAGAACCTTGTAGACCTTTTCTGCCTTTGAAGAAGAAGATGATGCCTCCCAAGTCTTGATCTTGTTCAGCACTTGTTCAATCTTGATTGTGCTAGGATGTGACCTGCCAGGGAAGCTAATGGAACGGACATGGTAGCGGTTATGGGACCTCGACGACGATAGAGAAACCATTCTTCTAAGTGAGTAGAGGTTCATAAAAAGGTTCTGTGTTGGTGCTTTGATCAAGCGCCTGCTCTCATTTTATACCTCTCAACACCTAAAGGAGACAAAAGGTTGGTAAAATGCCTTATCTTCTTCTTACACATTTTTTTTTTCTTTTTTTTTTTTGCCTTTATGTCAAAGTGGTAAGCATGGGTTTTCATGACTTGAGAAACTCATAGCCACTACCTAAAGGTGAACGAGGTAAACCAGTCTAGGTTGTCCAAATTGCTCCCGCTAGCTGACCGGTTCAAATAAAAAAGGTCAATAAATCGCTACTGCTGGGAGTAAAACTTATAATCTTGTGGTTACCAAGTTAACAACTTGATTAACTTGACTAGGTTGCCCCTGCCTGAGTTTTCATTTACAATGGGTTTATCACTTTATCTTGTAAAGTCCACAACCAACAATGTGATAAACACACCATATATTTTATTGAGTTCTACTACATATTACATGTATTCTCTGATGTGGCGGGCTCTGATAGGTTATTTTCTTTATGTGGGCCCTGTTAAAGTGTCTACATCAATATTTTAAGTGTGTGAGTAAAAGTTTGGAGTAGAGAATGGGAGTACATATTGTATTTTCTTATTTTATTAGGCCTGAAACAGTACTTTCATAATGTGCATCTCTCACTCCTTAATCTGTTCTTATATTTTAGTATTTTACAATTTTATTTCATATTTGCTAGCCTATCATCCCTGTACTTCCCCATGTACATAGGCCACTGCCAACTTGGGCTTATCAAAGGTTCATTCATCCAGAAATGTCGGTTGAATAAAGAAAGGATGCCGGCTTCTCAAAACTGTCTGGATAGGACGAACCTTTGGCAAATAGCTCAACAATGATATGAGATCTATAGGGATCAAGAAGCATATTTTTCAATAGTTCCAAGATACAGAAAGATATGGTAGTTAAGAAAGAACACAGAGACTGGATATTGTATTGTGTGCACGAGTGGCATGGTCCAACATTGTTTCCATACAGGTTGCAACCAGCAATTATTAGAATAATCATTTATAGTACATTAGTGTATTTTATCAGAGAATACAGCTAAGGCATTTGTACCTTATAATGGAATCCCACTGCTGGATGTACCTTCACTGTTGCCATCATTAAGAGATTATTAGTCAGATCTATTTTCTAGTCAATTATTGATTTTTCTTGTGCAAGGACAGTTTTTTCTGGCATGATGAAATTTGAAAGTGGTGGGAGGGTCTGAGTTGTTTAAACCCATTAAACATGAAAAGTTTGCATTACATGTTACTAAAAAAAACAAAATTTAATAATTGAGTCCCGATGAGAGTGGCGTATTGGTCTTTCTTGGTTTGAGCTGGTCAGCTATGAGAAACTTAGACTGGTTACTTCTTGTGGTCTTTTGCCAGGCTAGAGTCATGTAGAAGGGTACACACTTTTAGGTAGTAGTTGTGAGTTTCCCTTGTCACCCAAAAATCTTGTGGTCTTTTGCCAGGCTAGAGTCATGGAGAAGGGTACATACTTTTAGGTAGTGGTTGCGAGTTTCCCTTGTTACCCAAAAGAATCTCATAACTGAGATGTAACATTGTAAGAAAATCCCACATTATTAAGATTTAAGAGTCCACATTGATAAAATAATAGAGAATATATGAGTTTATAAGACTATGAGTTACACTAGCTAATTGGTTAGATCATAGTTATCATGGCGTCGCCTAGGCATCCTGTCGGTGGAGACAGGACGCCTGGAGGCTTCGCCTCGCCTGAAAATGGTGAGGCGAGCTCCGGCGTCGCCTTTGCATCCCAGACGACGCCAAGGACGCCGATTCAGCGTCCAAACCCATAAACCCTACCCATTTTTAACTTTTATCTTTTTAAAAAAAATGGTATGAGAAGAAGAAAGCCAACCCAGTGACCCACAGCCACCGCCGTCGCCGTCCCACCGCCGTGGGTCGTCATCGGTGCTTCTTTCTTCTCCCACCGCCGTCGTCGACTGCCATTCTTGATTTTTTTTCTTCCTTTTCCTTCTTTATTTCTTCTTGGCTTCTTCGTTCAGATTTATTTACTTTATATTTACTTTATTACTCCTAGAAAGCTGTAGCCTTGAGAAAAGGAATAGTTTTCTGCTTCTGTTTTGTAATGAAAGCTACTGCAGCTACAACTTCCTAGAATATAATAAATAAGGCTGCCTATTTCCACGGCCTATTTCCACATATATTATATATATAATTCTTCCAAATATATATTCTCATATTATTATTATTATTATTATTATTATTATTATATTTATATAATATATATAATATATAAAATATGCTGGCAGTAATTGTTGTATAATATGAGAATATATATATATATATATATATATATATATATATATATATATTACTTATCGCCTAGGCGACAAGGCGGTCGGGGAGCGCCGCGACTTAAAAGGACGCCGTGATAACTATGGATTAGATTCAATCTTTTAATGTGGTTTGGTTCATGTGGATGAGTAACCTGGTATCAAAGTCAAGACCTTTATAAGGTCATGATTCAATTTGCATTATAGCCTAATCTAAGTTTATAACATGCAGCATATGGTAGTAGATGCTGATGGTAAGTGTGGGGCTCCCCTTTTGAGGTCTTTTAAAAACTGTGAGGTGCCCCATGAGGCCATGAGCTAGAGCAGACAATATTATGGTAGGGTATGGGACTGAAAATTGTAATTATACAATTTGCCAACTGGATAAAATAATTAGGACAGAGGTCATTGTACTGATTAAGCTCTGATGATAGACTGATCACAGGCTAGCAGTGCGGATTCTACATTCAGTTCATACATATGACAGTTTTGACCTCTGCATATTCTAGTTTCCTCTGTTGTAAGTTAGACTTATCCCCCCTGCCTGAATATCTGGTCTGTTAATTCTGTCTCATTTGAAGAATCAACATAACAGAATATGAGGACATATACAATGAACAAGTAGCCTGACTAGAAGATGCCAATAAGGAGCAATCCAGCCAAATTGGTTAGACTGTTGGCTTGGTGACCAAAAGGTTACAAGTTCGACTCTCAGTAAGAATGACCTATTGGTCTTCTTGGTTTGAACTGGTCAATTGTAAGGAACCTAGGTTGATTTACATTTTTGTAGTCTTTTGTCGGCAGCTGGCAGTGTTTACCTAGTACACACTCTCAAATGGCAGTATTTATCTAGTGCACACCCTCGGATATTGCAGGATTCAAAAAACACCACAAACTAGAGTGGCTTGCTCTCCTGATGTTAGCATATGTTTTCTTTGAAGATGCAATTAACATTTTTTGCATCCTTGTTCATATTATTTCTTCATGCCATTGCTGCCATATACATTTCTATTTAATTATTAAATTTGCTACAGCAAAAACCTGAGTCATCTGCAAGAAAATTGGGACTGCATTAAAAATTTGATATTTAGATATGTGAGATTTGTTCAAATATTTAAAGGGAATATGGGATGTAAAGGGAAATTCTATTTGCACCACTCATTTTGCTATTTACACCCCCCTATTTAATAGGTGTAATAGCTTTATAGGTGGTGCAAATAAAAATTTGCACCACCTCATTAAATGTAGTCAAACATTAATATTTATTTTTTTATTTTTATTTAATAATCAATCTCTTTTATTATTATTATTATTATTATTATTATTATTATTATTATTATTATTATTATTATTATTATTATGTTTTAATGCCTAATTATTTTGTGCAATATTTTTTAAGTTTTTATTTTCAATACATATTTTTTTAATTTTCTATTTTCAATACATCTTTTATTGTTCAATACATGTTTTTTTAAGTTTATATTTTCAATACTTATTTTTGTTTATGTTTTAATTTTAAATAAAGAGAAATAATAATTAATTTTGTTATTCTAATATTTTTTTATAACTCAAATTTGTTGTATACATTATTTTAAATTGATTTAACTATAAATTGAAATATAAAATGATTACTAGTGATATTTGATGTAGTTACTGTAACTATAAATTGAAATACATTATTCTAATATTTTCTACCTATCTTTTTATACTGTAAATACTGTAACAATTTTATAAAGATATATGTGGGTTAGAGTTCTAACAATTTTGATGTAGTTAAAATTCTATAAAGATATGTGGGTTAGAGTTCTATTGAGACTTTGAAATATAAATTTATTTTCTACTTATCTTTTTATACGGTAAATACTGTAACAATTTTATAAAGATATGTGGGTTAGAGTTCTAACAATTTTGATGTAGTTAAAATTCTAATCATAAAATAAGTGGAGGTCAAGACTTCTAATCATAAAATAAGTCTACTGTATGCGTTCCTACACTCTTTCTATTTTGAATTTTGTATTTATGGTTGTCCTTCAGTCTCTCTAGAATAGTTTCCTATAATTGTGTATTATTTGTAGTATATATTGCTCTATGTACTCAATATTACTCAATAAATTGATTTTCTACCTATCTTTTTATCCTGTAATTACAATAAATTGATTAATTTACAACTATATTCACAACAAATTAAATTAATTCAGTATATAGATAGACTCACCAGTCACCCAATAAATAAAATCCCAAATTCAGTACTCTTTATACTATAATTTTCTCTCTTGAAATGGAACAAAGAGATTGTTATTTAGTCAATTGAGAAATTATATCTAATTTAAATGAGTCCTAAATACCTGGCAAGCAAGAACAAACTGACTTAAAATACAAATAGCAACACCCATAGAAATAAATAACAATTCATTAACAATTCAAATAACAACTTAAAATACCTCATAATGTCCTTGACTTTGATTTTAATCATTGTAATTAAGTAACTGGCTTTGATTCTGATTATTGTAACTAAAAAAATCTTCTATCCAATCATCCATGGCATATAGATTGTGTGATACATATACATAACACACACCCCACATATATATAGAGTCATATGAGTCCAATTTGTATTCTCTACCGTCCAAATTACCAGTAATTCATCTCACAA